ATAGCTACAATATGCTGCAATTGTGATTTCCAACTAATACATGATCCACACAAAGTGAAAACATAAGAAGTGGGGGATTTCCTACTGTCTCTATCATTCGCAAAGTTGGAGTCAACATAGCCAATTAATTCAATTCCAGTTTCAGATTTAGAAAAATTCAGGCCAATATGCAACGAATGTTTCAAATAACGAAGAAGCCATTTCAAAGCTTCCCAATGCGGCATACCTGGATTCGACATATAGCGACTCAAACAACTTACCGCATAAGCTATATCAGGGCGAGTGCTTACCATCAAGTACATCCCAGAACTTATCGCATTGGCATTAGGAACATTTTGCATAGAGTCAATTTTAGTTTCAGTCTTGGGGGACTGATCCTTACTTAATTGAAAATGGGCAACTAAAGGCACGTTTGTAGGTTTAGCATTAGACGTGGCAAATTTTTCTAAGATCTTACTCACATAAGAAATTTGATTCAAGAACAGCAAATTATTATCTCGATTGCGATCAATGTTCATGCCCAATATTTTCTTAGCATCCCCTAAGTATTTCATGTCAAATTGTTCACTTAGACGCATTTTCACATGATCAACATATTTCACACAAGGGCTGATTATGAGCATATCATCAACGTAGATCAACAAGAAAATAGGCACAGAGCGAGTATCTTTGAAGTAAAGACAAGGGTCATAAATACTTTTCTTAAACTTCAATGAAAGCATGCAAGAATCGAATTTCTTATTCCATTGCCTAGGTGATTGTTTCAAGCCATATAAATATTTCTTCAGCAAACACACATATTCAGGCTTTTTAGCATCTACGAAGCCCTCGGGTTGTTTTATGTAAATATGCTCATCTAACTCACCATGCAAGAAAGTATTTTTTACATCCATTTGTTTTAATTCTCAATTAAAATGCGCAACTAATGCAAGCATAGTACGAACAGTGGTAAATTTAACAATGGGAGCGAAAATTTCAGTATAGTCTATACATTCCTTTTGCGTGAAACCTTTAGCAACAAGACGAGCCTTATACCTAATGGAGTCTACCTCATCCTTAACCTTAAATAACCATTTGCAGTCTACAAAAGAGCAATTAGCAGGTTTAGGAACAAGATTCCAAGTTTAATTAACATGCAAAGAGTTCATTTCTTCTTTCATAGCATTTAACCATTCAGCTGATTTATCAGATTTTAGAGCATCCCTAACAGTTTTAGGTTCATTGCTATCTATAGATTCAAACACATTGAAAACATGAGAAGCAAGATGAAAGCTATCAAAACGTTGTAGAGGCCTAGCTCTTTCACGACTAGGTCGATCTGTAGCAAGTTGATAATCAGGCAAGTCATCCACATTAGGCAAGTCATGTTGAAAATTTTGGTCATGCAAATTTTCAAGTATTTCAGATTCAATATCAGGAACATTATCAGATTTTACAGTAGGCAGCTCCAGCTCATTTGGAGCAGCCTCTGAATTCACAGCATTATGCACAACAAGGCAAGGAAAATCATATTCATTAAAAATCACATCACGACTAATAGCAGTTTTATAGCCATGTTCCCCTTTAACCCAAAGTCTATAACCTTTAACCCCTTCGGGATAACCCAAGAAAACATATTTCACAGAAAGAGGTTCAAGCTTATCACTTTTATGATGCATGAATGCAGCACAACCAAAAACACGTAAGTTGGACAAATCAACATTTTTACCCGACCAAACACATTCAGGCAAATCACCATTTAAAGGCACAAAGGGAGATCTATTAATCAATTAAGTGGCAGTCAAAACAGCCTCACCCCAAAACATAGTTGGTAAACCCGAAGTGGCGAGCATGGCTCGAAGCGTCTCTAAAACAGTTCGATTCATGCGTTCAACCACCCCGTTTTGCTGAGGGGAATAAGGAACAGTTTTGTGCCTTTTAATACCAGATTCAGAGCACATAGCATCCATTTCTTGATTACAAAATTATGTACCGTTACCTGTCCTAAGGGTTTTTATCCGTTTTCCTGTTTGATTCTCAATATAAACTTTCCATGTTTTGAACTTATCAATGACATCAGATTTTTGTTTCAACAGGAAGACAAACACCTTACAAGAGAAAATCATCAATTATGGACATAAAGTAACAGTTCCCACCATGTGTAGGAACACTGGCAGGACCCCACACATCAGCATGCACATACTCAAGAAGATCAGAACATTTAGAAGGATTCGGGGAAGGGGTAGGTTGAAAAGAAACACGAGTTTGCTTTCCAACGATGCAAGAGTCACATATAGTAACCTCAGACACTTTATCGTTGCCAAAATAGTGATTGTTATGCAGAATGCTGAGACCTTTATTACTAATGTGACCTAGTTTATTATGCCACATAATAGAATGATCATTTTGGACAACATTCACATAAGCAGAGGATTCAGAATGGCATTCATACATATTTTGCATTTTTATGGCCTTAAAACATAGCAGATTACCCCTCATAATTTTCATGCAACCATTACCCCAACCACCATGAAACCCATCATCTTCTAAGATAGCACATGATATCTGATTTTCACATAAATTAGGAACATGCCGCACATTTTGCAAAGTTAACACATAACCAGTTTCAAACTTCAAGCAAACAGTTCCAATTCCATGAACTTGGCGTTTTGTGCCATCAGCCATAGTCACACAATTTTTCATAGTGGGAGAAAACATGTTTCATAGGAGTCATATGATGTGAGCATGCATAATCTAAAAGCCAATCATTTTCACCAAGAGATGATAGCACAAAATTTACACAAGCATGTTCACCAACTATAAACACATCACCAAGATTATTATCAGAAACATGATAAGCATGCTGATCATTAGAGTGCTTATTAGGCTCAGTACAGTTCTGAGCATAATGACCAGGTTCACTACAATTATAGCACTTACGACTGTTAACACGATTTTTCAACTTACTCATGCCCCTACCCTTTTTCTTTTGAAAATTGTTTTGATGAGAACTATTTTGAGAAACATTTTGGCTACTGGATGAAGGCTTATTTGAAAATCGGTTTTGCTGCATTCATCTCACAAAGTTTACCTCACCAAAACTCTTATTGCTTTTGTTAACTCTCAAATCGAGTTCTTTACTCTTTAAACCATTTACAACAGTGTCAAGAGAAATATTATCCCTGCCATACTTAATAGCAGATTTCAGATTGTTGTAAGAATCAGGGATTGCATTTAACAAAACAATGGGAGTATAGTTATCAATACTTTTGTCTCCCGTTAGTTTAATATCCTGAACTAATCTGGTAAACTGATCTATTTTCTCATCACTATCTTTGGTTAGATCCAATTTGAATCTAAAAAACTTTTCGAGTAAAAATAATTTTGAGGGCAGAGAAGTTTCAGTGTATAGCTCATCTAACTTTTCCCACAGACCTTTGACAGAATCATGCGTACCTACCTTTCTAATCACATAGTCAGAAAGATTCAATATAATGGCAGAGTAAGCAAGTTCATCAAGTTCTTTTTTATTAGTAGCACTAGTGTCAGTAGCATAAGATTTAACAAGAGCCACATAGCATCTTTGTTGAATTAACACACCTTTCATTTTCTGTTTCCAAATAGAAAAATCACCCTTACCATCAAAAGAAACCATGGAATAAGCAGACATAGCAGCCATAGTAATTTTAGCACAAATCAAGATATTAGACAAATTTTTCACAATAGGCCAAAAGTGGAATAAGTGCATATGCAACAAGGATAGGCAATCTTAGAGACCCTCCCTCATAGCAGGGCACTTGCAGTCCGGTCAAGTGAGGTCGAGAATCCAAGTTATACCACCCTTTAATATATATATATATATATATATATATATATAT